ACTCTAAAAGTCGTGGTTTTTCCTTTGCATTTGTTTTCCTTATTTCCAGGAAATGATCAGCCTTTGCTGATCATTTCGTCGTAAACGGACGAAAAAGAAAATGCTATGAGCTAATTCTTTGCATTGCTTTCTCAGAATGCACACCTAGCAGCTAATCTGGCAATTTGAGTGGAAGGTGCCAGAACTCGGTCTGAAAGTAGAAAAAATATACATCAATTGAGGCTTTACAATATGCAGTTGCTGAAATTCACTGTAAGTTTTAATAGCAATCCACACATCACTTTCCTTTAGTTGTTAAAATGCCAAACATAATTAGTTTAACTTTCTCTTCATTGCAGTTGCACCTTCTGAATGTAAATTCATGGGTTTCTACTTCTTATGCACATCAGAAACATCTACCACCTTTCCTTTTGTTGCTCATCCACATCCCTCTTGATCGCAAAAATCGACTGCTGCTATTACATGAATGCTTAGTGAAAGCCAGACATGATTGTTCCTTCTCTGGTTGCTGCTGCATATGCTGCACACAACAGGAAACAACATTAAAAGTTATACTGATTGACAACTGTGGCTAACTACCACATCATTTTTTCCCCCCAACATACCCACATGCTGAAATACCGAAGGGAAATGACAGACTACAGATGTGGTAAAACTAATTCATTTGTTAGTGTGGCATTATGACTTTGTAGAGTTTTCATTTTTTGATTTTGCCCTTCGCTCAGGCTAGGTTATGGGACGCCAAAGTTAAATCTCCAGAGATTTCTGTCCTGGGCTCTTCTTTCTTGTTGGCTCCAGATGTAGATCATCTTCTTTCTTGTGGTTTCATCGTCACGAGTTTTGTTGGATGGTCTCTCTCTTTCGCCTGCCTTTGGGGTTCCACCTGAGGTCCTGCCTGATGTCGGTTGGCAGTTTTCGAAGGGAGTGCCTTACCCGGCGACATCTTTTCTTACAGATTTCTGCTTCTAATGAGAGTCGGCAGGTTCTTTCCCATAGGTTGAGGTTACAAATAGGTTGGGCAGCGAATGGGGAAATCCTGACAGTTGTTGAGGAATGACTGCGTTTTTCCATGTGAGGGTTTGTTTGTCCTCCAGGTTTCAGCCCCGTACAGCAGCATGGAGTTGAACAGTCAGATCTTCGTGGCCAAGGTCAGCTTTCTGGACGCCCACTTGTTCTTCAGGTAGATAAAGGCAACTCAATTCAACCCTTGCCTTGACAATGGAATACGTTGGAGAAGGTAGCGTAATTTTAGGCAAACCCTCCGTATTGCTTCCTATTACAAACTCTGCAGGACTTCAACTCCGAATGGAACCATTGAACAGAGGTTTCCTTTATTGCTGCCCCAGATGTCAGAACTCTGATCTGGGTGTTCTCGTTTCAGGTCACCAATCCAGCAGGATTTGATGATTGTTGTGGTGCTACACTAGTTAAACAAGTAGTTTAACTACTTGTTACATTATTGTAACAATAATATAATATTGTGACAATACAAGGGCTGCCTAATCTATTGTTATTCCAATTCCTGTGTACACAATATGCATATTGTGAGGAACTGCTTGGACTGCAGTACATGTTAGCTAATTATTAAAGGGCCATATGCGCGCAAGTCCTTTGTGCCTCTGATATATTTGGTGACATTAGTTGTAGTATATGCTGAAGTCATAAAGAAATGACAACTTAGTTTTGGCAATTTCAGGGGGTTTTTTTCCATTTAATTTCAGAATTGTAAGTTTTTGTTTTTTTTTTAGTTGTTTTTTTTTTACTTGTGTATGCAAAGGTTAAAAATGACCGAAATAAATAAAATAATTGCTAAAAAAATATGAATATGAATCAATAAATACTTGTTTTTGAGATAAAAATAAAAACCTAAACTTTTTTCCAGGATGTACTACTACTATATGGTGTCCATGTGTTCTAGGAAACAGAAGTAGAAAGACAATAACACAGTTTACTTATTAGCTTATTTACTATATCATTATCACAATGAGTTCCTAATATTGTGAAGTCCTATTTAATAAGGCAATAGTGTGTACTTGTGATGTCTTCACTAAAGGTTATGATACGAGATTCTCATGCAAGCTCAGGAGTCACAATATGTTAAGATTTTTAAAAACAATAATAATAATCTTGTTTCGCAACAATAATCAAGCAGTAAAAGAGAATATTACGAACTCTTCCCATCAGAATCAGGTTGACTTCACACAACACAGTGTGACTGAGAACATGTCTGCCCGATTTATTACAAAATAGGTTTTTGGTGACTCCTTCAACTGAACCGAGAGCCAAAGGAAACAAAAGAAAATCAAAAATGTTTACAACTTTGCCAGCACGCCAAACAAAACAACTGAAGCTTAATTATGTACAAATACTTCAAGAGTGGATGTAACTTCAAGGCAAAGTGAATCCTGTTTGAACCCAAGCGACCACACATGCAGGCTCCAGGGAAGAAAAGGCCATCCTGTTGGCTGAATCAGCTCTGTTTGCTTATCACACTTCCATCTTATTTTCCCATGACAGGCTGCAAGCAAACCAGACATGAGCACATAGTTTCAGGACAGAAACTACAATCTGTCACACCAGTTCGCATACGGAGGGAGACCTTTCAGCGGCTACACATGTCACACAAAATGAAGTTGGGTTAAACGCTGACAAAAAAAAAAAAAAAAAAGGGGAAATGAGATTGAGTCTGCGAGTGAATCCATCGAGCGGAAATTCTGCAGCCAGCGGCCAGCCGGGTGCTGCAATTCTGACAAAGAAAAAAACACTGAATTAGGAACTCTTCTAGTTCCTAATTCCTCAAAGAGCTTGTTTTTTTAAGCTGATAAGGAGATTTATTTTGACATCAGAGAGGAATGGCAAGATTGCAAATTAGAAAAAACACCCAATCAAAGTTAAGGAGCAGAAGATGGAGGCAGCTGGGGGGGGGGAGGAGACACTTCTCCAAGTTTTCACCTGCTTAGAAAAGTTTCAGTCAGAGAGCGTTTCAGATTTATGTGTCTGCTCAGAGAGCAGACTGGTAGTCAAGTCAAAAGGGAAATGGATGCATCCCCTAATGCCAAGTATGTGTGCCCTGCATACTAAACACACAGCTGATCGTTGCCATCACTGCATTCTCTTGTGTCCCGCTGCAGGGCACAAAGGGCAGATTGATGAATCAGGAGTGTCTCTGCTCTCCTCTTTTCTCGTTCAGGCAATTATGGAGTCCACTTAAGCAAAAACGACTAAATAAATAAAACTAATCATACAGGATTACGCCATCTTTATAGCTACATTTTTAAGGCACGTGGCATTGAAGAGATGGCTTCTCTGTAGCCGTTACCACACAGGTAAATGTAATTAGGGGAATCTAATAAGTTAAGGCTTTATTTTACCAGCTTCCAGCCAAGACGCCACACATTACTGTAGATTAGCATGAGCTATGCTACAGGCGAATAAACAAGAAGCAATACGATAAAAAAATAAAAACAAACAAGGCAGAAGCTAAGCTCTTCACTTAAAGATAAGTTTGGTTGTTTGGAAATATTTCCGGTCACAAAAACCAAAAAAGATCAGTCGGGAAGTTACGAGCCGCATGCTGACTGCAGGTTGGCTACCTACCGGAGCAGATAACCTGACTAACTACCAGCTAATATCAGGAAGTTAAATTCCCAATTTTATATTAAAAAGAACAGAATAACCAGTTAGAAATTCCACTCTATTAGCAGGTTTACAGATATCAGTTTTGCTAAAGTCTAAAGGAATAATTGTTACAGATAATATAACTGAATTGATCATATATTATCCTTGGAGCGGTAGGAACACGTGTTGCTTCCGTCTCACAGTTAGCTTTTCACTCAAGGTTATCAAACTGAGTTGGCCCATCCCAACTGTTCCTGGTGTAAAATCCACGTTTGGGGAAACACTGTGTGTTATCTAGAACCCATCATCCAGAGAGTCTGAAAACACAACAGCTTACTGAGACCTAATAGAGAGATTCAGCAGATATTTAACACCGCCCTTATACTTGGTTTATTCTGAGTCGGTGTGCTGTGGTGCACTTTTGATCCAATTACCTCATTTGTGTTGCCTTCAAAAACAGCTTTTTATTTGCCGTTGGAGGGGGCAGCATTCAGAATATATGGTGATAACGTAATATAATTTATAAACCCTACCCAGAATATTACTGAATGTCTGTTATGCATCTCTGCTAGTGACACAGCAGGAATTATTTTGGTACAGCAAAATGAAGTGTGATTTAAATGAGGACTGAATTGGAGGATACATCTTAAATCAACTAAATGGGTAAAATACTGTTTTAATGTACATACAAAGCAAAAACGAACTCATTATGGGTTAGATCAATAAAGGGTCCTTTCATGACATCAATTTATAATGTCTTTAAAGCCAAGCAATGATTTTTTTTTCTTGCGCTATAGCATTTTAACGGTTACAGTCTAATTTGGGAGAAATATGTAATCCTTTGTTTTTACAAACAACGCAACTGACAAGTTAAACAAAATAAATTGTAGCTATTTGCACTTGCTATGATGAATAACACTTAAAGCTGAAAAGCTAGGCAAATTCAGGAATTCAAAGACGCCAAACAATACAAACATGGCACAGTGAATAAGTAAATATTTGAAGCAAGTTATGAAAAGAATCATCAACACGACCTGCTCTGACATAACTATGTGAATTTCTAATGACCTTTGACAGCACACACATTTTAATACAAACAGAAGCGCAACAACACCAGTTTATTTTTTAATCTACAACACATGTTTGGTTACTTTTTAAATATACTTAAATATTTGGATTTTAAAAATTTTTCGGGGTATTCTAACTAAGCTAAACATCTGGCCTCTTCACGGAACTTCTTCACGGAAGAAAGTGACGCGTACGACAGGGAGCCTGTGACTGGCAGCCGACGTGTCCAATAGCATTCTTGGAACTGTCCGTAAACATTCCAAGAAATCCAGACGCAGCCAATTACCGGAAAGAGGGGCGGATACCTAATCCTCTGAAGTTAGATAGGTTCACAGAGGCCCAAACCCCGGGGTAAAAACAGAATAATTACCGAAGAACATTAATGCTGGTTGTGCAATTCAGGACCGGCTAGTCTGTCGGCACCGGACAGAACCTAGTAACCGCACGACTACGACCTGAATAATAAGGTCAGAATAGACAGAAAGGGAATAATGAGGTGTACCACCGGTGTTAACAGCATTAAAAAAATAAACACCACCTACCCAGAAATTTTCTAGGAAGTAAGGCGTTATCATTTTGTTCTGTTCCTCTTCGCCGCAACTCTTCAAGTAGCTGTAATGCAAATTTTAAAGCGTAAATCATCCACCGTTCTCCCCCAGTTTCTGTTGTATGTGCCTTTCACCGTTTTCCTCCTCTCCCCTTTCTTCTCCCTCCCCACCTTTAGACTCCACCTCCGCCAGGCGGTGCTGCACTGCTGCTTTCCCCAGCGGTTCCTTCTCCAGACCCGGGACGAAACAGCGCTACCATCGGCTGGTGAGGACACAGGCTAGGATGCTGCCTTCAGGTGCTCTCCGTAAATTCCTCAATCATACAAAGAAATTTTAAAAGGAAATCGAACGGCTTATTCTCGCCTCTTAGAGCTAAATAAATAGCCTTTGTTTGTTATATATATTTTTTCATATATAGTTTTAACTTAAGAAAATTTTTAAAAGTATTTTTCTGATAAGCATAGTATATATTTAAAAGATGACAGTACATTTAATTAATTTTTCACTGTAAAAAAACTAGTGTTTTTTGTAGATGTCCACTTCATTTTGGAATTTGCAAAAGAAGACATTTCCCTTTAAAACATTACACAGACGTATTTAAAAATGTTATTATACATAAAGATTATAGCAGCAGAAAGGCTCCAGGTCTTCAGGAGATTGGAAGAGTTGACTTTTAACACACAAATACCTTGGATATAACTTGCAATTGACTTAATTTTATAAAAGTTTTCTTTTTAACATTACATTATTAGGGCCGTTTGGTGCCAAGCAGAGATCTAGCTTCTAAAATAAATTTATTGATGAGTAAGTATTGCTATTAACTTCTCGTAAGTTAATTATAAGGATGTGTTCAGTAAATATCAGCTTTAAAAAAGTCAGTTTTGTTTTATATAAACATTTGAAAAGTACTTTTCCACCGACCAGACAAATACTGCTTCAGTAATTGTACTCTAAACACACATGTTTATGATACAGGGTGGTCAGCTCTAATTTGTTAGAGCTGACCACAAAATGGACACAAAGGAAACATTGGCAATGATTTAAAGTTCATCTTTGTTTTATTCAGAAGTTGGACTTCCAGGATGTAAAATCAGTTTTTTTTTTTTTTTAAAAAATAGATGTCGATTCTCTGATTAAACTAGTTTTTAAAAACATTCAGGTATAGTACACAAAAGTGATATTTTGACATTAAACCAGAGTTGAACTGGGTCCGGTGACAGCAGGTCTGCTTCTGGGTTAAGCTAATTAATTTAACCCCTTTCTGGTTTCAAGCTAGTTCTCAAGGTTCTGCACAAATTTCTCCAAAGCTTAATTACAATAAAACGTTTTATTTCAGATGATAGAAATTGGATGAGACTGAAAGGAAGGAGACAAAAGACCTGTCATAATGTAAACAATTTATTGGAACAATGTACAGATTCAAGCAATGGTAATCATTCACACCCACTACATCATTTTACAAATATTACAAAATTACTACAGTACAATATAGAGTCTTTGCATGATCCAAAATATTTGGTGGCCCCAAAAGTATTACTTTTTTTTTCTTAATTCAGCAGCTTATTTTAAAAAAAAATGAAACCAAGTCTATCAAAATGATGTTTTTGCTTTTCATAGCAAAAAATGTGAAGGCAGATTAACTATTGAAGTTTAAAGGCTAATCGAGTTACAGAATACAGGAGCTCTTTGCACAGTCGTCGCTAACTACCGGTTGGTACTTTATAAAATGCGGTCGTTTAATAAAGCTTTGTAGAAAGTCAAACTTGTACTTGCAAACTTTTTTTTTCTCTTTATGGTTTTCAACTCCCTGGTTTTGTTTTAATACAGTTATGCTAAATATCTATTGCAAATCAACAAAATCCCCAAATGTTTGCTCCTATGGCATTGTGTAGAGATTACACTGTTCAATCACAATCATTTTAGGCAAAAAAGTTGATGAAATATGTGCAAGTTATAGTTGCTGAAATGTTTTTTTTAACCCCTAGCTTTGACAGCTCACAGTGCTGCAAGTAACATCAGCTAACATCCGACATCCACGTTTATCCGTTTCTTGCATGAAAATCAAGCTTTTTAACTATTCTTCAGGACGTTTACGGGGGGGCTGCATAAAAGGTGTACACATTAAGGAAATTATAAACAAACAAACGAAAAAAAACAACAACAAAAAAACACTGGAACAAAAGCAACCTGAGGTTTACACTTAGAAAAGACATATTCAAGTGGTGATACACAACTACAATGTTTAGCAGCGGTCAAGTCAGAAGGACAGCACAGTAACAACGGGCGTTCATTTGTGTGTGTGTGTGTGTGGGTTTGTTTTTTTTTGTTTTGTTTTTCTCAGACGTACAATCTTTCAGTGGAAGAATACGAGGACTGAACACACCCCATCTAGCTGTGATCACGCCACTTCTCTGTGTGCCAAACAGCTGGAATGTGCCAGACAAAAAAAAAAGAAAAACACATTTTGAACAAAGAATGATGGGGGGGAAACATACACGCACACACGTAAGTATTTGCCTCTGTATTCCATGATGCATTTATTACGTCTTGTAATTTTTAACATCGAATGATACCTACAAGAAACCAGCTGCAGTCCCCTTCAAAAGTACTCAGCTTTTCTACATCGTGTCAGACTATAACCACAAATTTCAATGGATTTTTTTTGTGAGACGTTATGGGGTGAACATAAAGCAATATAGCAGGCCGATTTCATCCAAAATCAGTTTTACAACAAATGACATTCCAGATATCTGATGTTGCTTTATGAGCAGATGTATTAGTAAATTGAGATAGATTTAAGATACATCATCTAATACAAATGATGTCCGGTTCCCCAATAATTTGAATGGAAGCTTTAATTCTAGGTATCTGCAATCAATTACTGACCATCTGAAACATATTTCAGATATGAATAGTTAAATCATAACTAGTCATAAAGTAGTTCTGGCTAGTCGCAATTCTAATTAAATACGTCTTGGATGACACCACAATTCGAGATATGTCAAACGTATTTTTTTTTTTTTTTTTTAGATTTGACAAGTGCAAATTAAATTGCAGATATCTTCAAAGCAAATAATGATTAAGCAAAACCTAAATTGAAGAAATCTGGGAACTGAACCTTGGATTAGTATGAAAGCGTGTTCTTGTGTCAGAATGGACCGGTCAACGTCCAGAGCCAAATCCAATTAGGAATTTTTGCAAAACACTCCTGTTAAAAGATGAAGCTCTCCATTCTGCCTGAGCGAGTTTGAGCTAATTTGTAGAAAATGGGTTAAAATGTGTAAAGCTGGAGGCTGAATCCAATGCGTGCCACACTTTTCAGATTTTTTTTAAATTTTTTACACGCTTCATGAACTTTACATCTTTTATCTTGCGTTTACTCTTAGTTACTACCGTTATTTGAGTCACAATTTGTGGCTGTAGTGTGTCAAAATGTAAAAAAAAAGATTTTAAAGGGGTTTGAAAACTTTTGAAAGGAACTGGTTATATCCCTATAAGTATAAAGCTACATTAGCAGTCCAATTGCATCAAGATGCTTATTGCATTAGGTGAAAACTTTTCAGCAGCAATAATTAATCCTCAGTAGGGGTTTGGCTACATTATTTCAAGTACTTTTTAGTACATTTTTTTGTTTTATATGTGCATTACAAAGAATTAAATACTGCAGTTATTACTCTGGCCAGCAGAGGAAAAAAATGCCTGGCTGGGTGTTTAAAAAAAAAAAGAACAAATTAATAAAAACAAAACTATCTCTCTTACTCATCATGGAATACATTCAGGCTGTAACCTTTTAACAGTTTGACACTTAAAAAATATATATATAACAGCACAGAACAGGCAGACACATTAAACATTCTTCACAGTATTTTAAAACTACATCCAGTTAACGGGGCAGGGGGAAGATCAGGGAGAGCGCTCCGGTTTGCGATACGCGAGGTTAATACACGTCCCAGTGTTGCAATACAGACATCGTCCACTATGTACTTCTTAAAACGTCGAATTGAAGCTCCCCTCCCTCCCGCAGAACCCTCTTCCCACCAAATGTTTTCGCGCGAGGGGCCACCAACATGCAAGAGATGAAAAGCATCCAAGTACCCCACAGTGACAGCCACCCGACACAGTAACACAGCCACCCTCAGGATCATGCTTTTTTTTCCAAGCACAGGAAGCGAAAAAACCAGCAACAGAATTTCAATACACTGAGAAATCAACATATTCAACACTGATCTGATGAAGTGTGTGTGAGTGTATGCGGGTGTGTGGTTCTGATTCACGAAACTCACAGACATGTTTTTGTATCACTGAGGTTAAAAATAAAAAAAGGAGACACACACAGGCTGATGACCTGCATGCTCTACTTCAGTTTTCCTTCAGAAATTTCAGACAATAATTTAAAAATAATAAAAAAATGAATTTAGGCATCTTAAAGATTCGATATGCTTGCTCTCTCTCTCTCTAAAAAAAAAAAAGTCACATTCACACCACAAAGTAAAGAGACTCACTCCAATGTCACATCACAGCCAAGGTTTGACACAACCTGAATCCAGCGTGTAAAAACCCTGTCATGCTACGTTACAGACGGCCGCTGTAATTCTCTGGCAGAGGAAACAGAAAGTACTTTAAATATAGATTACACGATCAAAGAAGAACCTTATCGAATGGCAACGATGGCCGTCAACACACATCACTAATGTTCGACAGCTTTCCACAATATTATAAGCATGCTACCTAATCCCAGAAAAGCTGCTCTTGAATTGTGCTCCCTGGTGATTTTAAGTCAAGAGCCTCTGCCCTGCGTAAAGTGTTGAAATAATAGGTTACCTGTAAGTCATTACTTACTTACTTTGGATGATATGCAGCACTCTGAAAGTACATTTCCCCTTCATCCCCCGCCCGATTTCAAAATGCTCTGCTAGCATTAGCTGCTTTAATATAAAGTATCTCAAAGATTGGTTTCATTAATCTCAGAATCTGTCCTCAACAAATACCTTAAAGATTCATTGGTTTTTTCCCCCCCCACTAAAATTACCCTTCGGTAGTCCTGGAAGCAAGATGTCTGCAGAATAAATGGGGGAGAGGAAAAAAAAAAAAGTAGAAGAAAAACGTGATCATTTCTATTATTTGTGATTGAGATGTGATTAAATGAATGATCCTCCCATGATAAGGTTGAACTGCCAGTGTCTCCCCCTCCCCAGCTTGCGCTCAAGGGCACTGAGAACTGGAGCTACTACCACCTCCCTCCCACCCCTTCCTCCAGGTCGGGGAGGGGTCGACCCCCTGACCCCCCCTGCAGAGGGTAACATGTTCCCTGGGATGGTTCCTTGTCTCGTCTCCCATGGTGAATGACCTGTGTGGAGAAGGGAAACGGTTTCAATTTTAGGCCAAAGTTGCTCCACAAAATATGTTTGCGTCTCGTTTTCAAGATAGGAAGCAACAAAACGGACCCCGCGATGAGGCACAGTGCTGTGGAAGCCTTTACACCCCATAAAAGGTTGCCAGTCGTTCCTTCAAGGGAAGCGGGAACTGATCAGAGAAACGCCTCCAGTTGTCTTCGCCCACCTGGTTCTTGAACCCGTGAAGGATCTGAAACCAAACACGAGGAAAGGCTTTTAATAGCAAGTCATGAAGGACCCCTGCCCTTCAAAACAGACCTCATGCAGGACAGGGTTGTCCTCAGAGAGTAAATTAATCAAGAATTTTATTGAGATTTGAAATGGTGCTACTTAATCAAGGTGTACGGAGGTTTCACTCCAATTTAAAGACTGTTTAAAACCATTATGAATCAAATTTAAGACCTATATCAAGACAAAAATGTCCTAGTCGTGAACTCTACAAGATCGATATTCAGTTCTGCACCGCTTTGTGTTGGTCTACGACTGAAAATCATAATGAAGAACACAGACGTTTGTGGTCATAATACCGTCCATTAGCACCTGTGAGCGGGTGAAGTCGACTTCATTTTATTTTTTTAACGTTATTTACACCCATCCATTTGCCAAATTTTTACCTTGTAGAACATTTCTCTGAGATCGTCCTTTGGATTTACCCAGGAGGCCACTGCGTCGCAGAAGAATATAAAGTCCTGTTCCAAAGAAGAGAAGTGAGGCAACATTTCGCCTTCTGTAGCCACAGAGAACCGAATCGACCGGGGCTGGAGCTCACCTGCACCACGCCTCCAGGATTTACACTGATCATGGTGCAAATTCCTCTGAATGCCGAGTCTTTCTCCTCATTGTCTCTTATATTTCGCAGGGAGGTGCACCTGACGACATGGACGACCAAACTCAACATTGAATATGTCAAGAGCATCATCCAGTGACAAGATAAGGAACTTGTGCAAGTGCACTAACAACTTCCACTATGTAAGGCTAATGCTAATCAAGGAGTTATTAAAGAATCATAAACACAGCCTACTGCATCCCTTAATTCAAATGTTTTTTTTTTTTCTCTTTTACTATTATTATGATTTGTCTTTTGGCTGCAAAAACTCCTATCATGACCTGTGATCACTGACACAATAAACATGCACACCAAACAAAATCAATTTTTTTTTTTTTTTTGCATTTAAACACAGCTACACTGACATCTAAGAACGTTACTGTCTATGTGCAGTGTGTTCAGCAAAACCTCATGTATAGCACCTTGATTTTAATTTGCTTTGTTTTTGGAAAGATTTACTAAAAAAAAATAAAAAAAAAAAAAAAAAAAAGGTCGGGATAATTTTGGGACAGGACATGCAGCTGGGCGACTATGAAACGAGAAAGGGATTTTAGGAATGCTCTTTGGCATTAAAGGCCTTTCTCTGTTTTTGAACCAGCAAGGCATGTGACAAAGTCTGATCCCATGCATCTTAGAAGTTGTTAGCGACAATTAACAATGTGAAAAAACTAGAAATTAAACAAATTAACGTGTAATATGAAGGTGCTACTGAGGCAAAAAAAATAAAAGAAGAAAAGAAAAAATCACAAGTAGGACCTAAAAAGGACAGGGTTAGTCACATGGTTGGCAATGATTACAAACTGATAAGAAAAAACTGAAAAAAGAAGTTTGTTTTAGAAGGAGAGCGAGGAAGAGAAGAGGAGAGCAACAGGGGAGAGGAAGGGGGGAGGAACAGGCGACAGATGAGAAGAGCAGAGCCGAGAGAAGATGAATTAAATAAAAGATTGAATAATACACACCAGGGTCTTATAAACTGCTGTAGCATGGGTGCCACCTCTTGAGGACAAACGTAACCAAGACGACCAATTGTTATTGCTAAGGTAACGCAATCACGGTTACACACCACCAAACGCCAACGAAGACATGAGCAATGAGGAGGGGGGAGGAGAAAAAATAAAGAAAAAACAAACAACTCAGAGACATAAATCAACAGAATCTGTGTATGATAATAAACAGACTTTCACTAGCGTTGATTATTACTGCCCCTCCCTTCGGTCGTGGGCAGGAATTTAAAACATGGCACTCTAAAAAAAGACATACAGAACGTTTAAGGGAGAACACATTGACAACTCTGACAAGACATTCATAGAAAAAAATAAAATAAATTAAAAAAAAAAAGGCAAACGTGGATGTCTGCTTTCGGCAACCGTTAAAACAGCTTTTCGGATCTGATAAGAAAAAAAAAAATGGATTCAATCTCTTGTTAGTTTAACTTAAAATGCACAATTCGAAAAAAAAAAAAAAACAGGTGAGTTAATAGTAAAAAAAAAATTTAAAAAATTTTAAAATTGTAGCGTGTGCAAGAGCAGCTAACGAGATTTCTCCCTTAAACTCACAGATGTTAAATTTCAATAAACAGAAATATATATATATATTTTTTTTTGTTTGTTTGTTTTCTTTTTTGAAAAGAAATGACAAGATTACTCCAAGCCAACTACAATGGAGGGAGACTAGTATCCAGCACAGCAGGTTCTTATGAGGCAGAGAGGAGGGAGGACCTAAGTTTAAGAGACACAAAACTATGCAACATTCTCATTAACAAACAGGCATTTATGAACAGTCCAATGACACATGCAGAAAGCAGATGGTACGCTCATTAGAGTAAAGTTCAGTGCAGGATCAGCTGATCAGAGGCAAACTAAGGAGTGGCGCAGTGCTCTCCAAGAATTTGCAGCCTGCTGCTTCGGCACAAAATGACGGCTTTAAATTTAGTTCCAGCCAAACCGGCTCTCTTAGAAATATATTTAATGTTAGCTTTATATGCATGGCTGGAAAGTCTGACTTGGCTCTTTTCACTTCCTGAATGTTCTCTCTGCCATGTTCGAATACACTGCTTTAATTAATACATATTCCATTGAACCACTTTATATTTTCACATTACATCCACAAACTTCCATGAGTTGAATCAGGATATTTTGCATACTTGTAAAGGGGGGGGGGATTTTTACTGGTAAAAAATCTGAAAAGTGTGGCGTGGCATGCAAGTCAACTTGCTAAAGTAAATCATTCCCAAAGCAGGTTTTTTTTTGTTTTTTATTCCCCGTTACCGGAACAAAAACTCCAGCAAACTTCACACCAAACCCTAAAAAAAAATCCCAATAAAATACACTGAAGTTTATGGTTGTACTGCAACGAAATGTGCAGAAGTTCAAGGAATACGCATACGCAAAGCACTGTATTCCGAAAACAGAGCGGGCGAAATTTATCGTCAGACATTTGAGCATTTTTACGACAAAGGCGTGATTACTCTTCCATCATCGTGTATCCTGCATTAAACATTGGCCATTCTTAACATTTAACATCTATTAGCAGAAATGCATTCACATTTAAAGAACAGTAAATAAAAGCAACACATAAACTGACAGCAAAACAAACAGGTACACATCTACAGAATCCCTAATTTATCTTGTTTTTAGGCAAGGTCACACTTTACCCTTGCATGCTTTTTTTTTTCCCTCTTTTTTTTGGTCATTTTGACTCCTCCCAATACAATTCTTAATGGTGAAAACAAAAGCAGAGTGTAACCTTTTAGAAACTTGAAATCTAAGCTCTGTGTCATCATGTATGTGCTGGTTTAGGCATTCTCTCAGTCGTTCAGGATTAGCGTTTAACTGAAGAGACAAGTATGCCTTTAGTAACTACGTGAGGCTGTGAGGATATCTAAGCTTTTCATTCTGTCCTATTTCAGCATCCTGCTTCGCTTGTCAGTCCGTCCAGATTAGTCGACTCCCAAGAAGACTGGGCTCTTGCATGGTTTGGCTCGTTTCAGGAGCGTCAGGAATTTAAGCGCTGGGTTTTTAATTCCCTTTTATCTCGACCCAGACGTCTTTGCGGTGGGCTGCAAGTCAATAACTGTAGTTTGAGCAGATTAAGCGAGAAACCAGCGAAACATGTAAGGCTCATTCTTTGGGAGAAAGGGTTGTTTGGACAGAGATTAAAAGACCAGAACAGGCATCCTTGTGAGTGTGGCGAGTACTGACTGAGTAGGACCTGGGCGAGTCAGAGAGTGAGTGAGTGAGAGAGAAAGTGAGCACCTCCCTGTGTGGCTGGCTCAGCACTACCACCGTGTGGTACCTGTGTTTTCCAGTAGAGTCTTTGGAGTATTGGGTCTGTTAATGATCTCCACCAGCTGGTGCAGCACCATGGCAATGTAAGGCTGCATTTCAGGCCCTGCAAGTCGCATTTCATAAAACAGAAAATAACCGTTACTGTTTTTGAAAGCAGGTTACTAGGTTAAAAACGGACGATCTGGAAGCAGCTCAACTCACCCATTTGTATAGAAATCTCTCCGATTGCCCAGGTTGCATTGTTGCACACAGATATTAACTCTGGGTTCAAATTTGTACCCAGTATGGGCATAAAATCACCTGTAAAAGAACAAAAAAAGAAAAATCAATCAACTTGGTGACTGTTTATTATCAAGATCAGCTTCAAAACAACAGCAGCAGCAGCAGCGGCCATACCGATGCAGGGTTTGACGTGCTGGAAGCAAGCCTTGGTGAGATCCCCAAGCAGAGCGAAAGAGCTCTGACGCACCTCAGGCATTTTGTCCTGAAGTTGAACGAAACAACACAGCTGTCGACAATGCTCGCCAGTTCACTAGTCTGTTGAGCGGTGTGCTCTGACGGCCTCTTTACCTGCATGCACTGATACATGAGAGTGAGGATGTTGCTACGAGCGACCAGCTGCTCGATGGTGCCGCCCAGGCCCTCGGCCAGTCCGCTCAGTAGGTCCAGAGCCACAATCATGAAGTCTTTGTCCGGTACCTCATACTGGTCAGGTTGTGACTGGTGAAGCTGAACGGTGGTAGAAAAAAAAACCAAAAAAAAAAAACAGAATCTTTTAATCAAATTGTAGTTTGAACTTAAGTTCTCAGACGGAGGGCTTAAGTTCAAAAGGATGAAACATTTAGCCTTCCTGTTGTCTCCTAAAAGTATTGTTCTTTCTTGTATTTTTCACAGCCTGAATAAATCAGGCATGTTTCAAGATGTTATAGTAATTAGCTCCTAGAATCCAGAATTTTTTTAAAAAGTTGATCATTTCTTCTTGCATTTCAAACAAGAATACAGTTAAGCTACAATGCCAACAATTTCTCAACAACGTCCTGTTGGAAGTGCTTTGAATAAGGTTTTTTTTTTTTAATTTATTTTAAATCTTAAATAGACACTACATTCATTCAATTTATAGTTCTGCAAAGCAGATCAGAGCAGAGTTAACGCTGAGGTAGGTAGGCTGACTTTTCTAAGAACTACAGACTCACCATGGCCTGAGCGAGCGTCTTCTGGACCAGGTTGACGCATCGCTGGTAAACAGGCTCACAGTAGGGCAGAAAGCCGCTTTGAAGGGCTGTGGCTACCGAGGATAAACACTGAGGAGAGAACGGAGTATTAGTAGCACATGTTAATCATGAAACTATGATAAAACTTGAACTGGACCAGTGCTAAAAAAACAACACAAAACAAAAAAAACTTACTTCCAACAAAGGAAAAAGATCTTTGTCTTCATCTTTCAGCTGGTTCCATTTCTGTATCAGTGGTGGCATCAACATCTGGATGTATTCCTATTAAAATTCGACAGAAAATTAAAACCACAATTATTTAAAAATATACAAATGCATCCTGTAATCTAACAAATTTTTTGTCTTTTACCTTCAGGAAAGGCTGTCTAGACTGATTAGGTCTGAAAGTGCATTTACCACTACCAGCACAACAAAGGTAAAATGAGGAAGCAGACACAATAGTATGTGGTATGTCAAAATTCACACCGACTAGGAAGCGAAGCTGCGCGTTTCTGTCGTCCTGCGTACCGGTTTATTTAGGTGGTGTCCCACGGAATCCGCGAGCGTCCCGATGGCGTCGTAGAGAATGAGCAGGTTTTTGTGCTGGTACTTGCTGAAAGCAAACACCAGCGTGTCCAAGATGAACGCCAGGTAGGGCACCAGCTCTGTGCAAGCCTCCTCCTCCAACGTGGCAAAGGCGCTATGTAGAGGAAAATAAAAATGGAGGTTATGATCCATGCAGATGTGTTACTCTTTGAACTTTTTCACACGTTATCCACTTTACTTATTCTTTTTCCGTTTCCAAGTCCAAAGCTACATCTAATTCAAAACCTCTGTAAACACCTAGGGGTGTACGTTTATCATTTATCGTGAAAAATTTCTTAGCATGGCAAGAATTTTTATTTCAATTAATGATGTTAAATATAATATTTTCACTATTTTCTCCACTATTTGTTCCACGAGAGCATTGATAAATATCAGAAAATTCAAAAGTCTCATAAATGTAGTCACTGTCTGGAGTTCAGCGATATAAATCTAATTTATTTAAGGAAGTGGCGTCCTGAAGAAACCCGTTTCAAATAGGAAACAGTATTTGTGTTTGTGATGCAATGAATGCTGTGGTATGCAGTCACAGCCACACAGAGAAGTAATAAACCTTTTTTTTAAATCATCGCAATAGTACCATAAAATATTGCAATACAATTTTTAGTCCATATTGTCCACCACCTATGAAGACTTGAATGCTGTTGTTCACCATCCAATCTAATTCAGTTTGTGCCGTTTTATAAAAAAACAACGGACATTTTTTTTGGTCTCTAGATGTGGAAAGAAGGTGAAAACATAACCAAAGTATTTCAAGATGCAATTGGAAAGAAAGTGCCGACTCAGATGGGGCTAAATATCTATGCATGCATTTTTATTTCCAAAATGAATTGGGGAAAACCATCTATTACATTCCATCCACATGTTTCTGTTTTGTTGGTCGTATAAAATTGCAATAAAATATATTCACCTTGTGGTTGTTAAAAAACAAAATTTGAAAAAGTTCAACAAGTGTGAACATCTTTACCTGCAAGCGGCCTCCTGCACACGTTTGTTGCTGTCCAGTATGCGCTTCAGTAGCTCAGTCATTAGAGGCTTCAGGTAAATATCTGGGGGCTGGCTGACCACCCAGTGCGCGTAGCGACTCAGTGTCCAGCAGGTGATGGATCGCACCAGTGCCTTTTTGTCAGACAAGCACTGGATGAGGTGTGGGATGAGCTCAGGCAGGTAGGGGATCATGCCTTGCATGCAACCTGGGGGAAAAAAAAGGAAGAAAGAAAAGTTAAAATTTAAGCATTCTTCTGAACATTTTTCCTCTCTCCCTGCATCTTCCTCCTGATCCCCACCTTCAGCTATAGCGCCCAGCACCAGGATGCCAGACTCCTTTACAACCCAGTCAGGGTGGAAAAGCAGCTCTTTGAGCAGTGGGAGGATGTGCAGCAGCAGATCGTCCCTGAACACATTGGCCAACACGTCCAGCGCTGCTGCAGAGCACTTTCCTAACATTTCGAGAGCATTGAAACATACAAGTGTGCAAAGAGAAATAACAGGAAGAACAAGAAAAAATTTGAAAAATGAATCACAAGTTTAAGAGCAGTTGATATGAAAAAGGACAACTTTTAGACATACACTGCAATAAACACAGAATCTTAAGTATGTTGTCTTGTTTCTAGTGCAATTTTCAGTTAAGACAAATCTAAGTTACAAGTAACTTTTCAGCAACATATGGGAGCTCATTTTTTCCACTTATAAAATGTGAAAACTGACTTGTGATGAGCAAAACAATCTGCAAGTGGAGCTAGTGCTTTCTTATCAATATTAATGAATTATTTACTTAAAACAAGTTCCTATTTCTCTGCTGAAACGTTACTTGTGAGTTAGTTTTATCTTATTTCCAGTGCTTTAAGATATTTGAACTACAAACCAGACCACAAATGCTTGGCAAGGTTTTGTGTTTTTGCAGTGTTAGGGATTTCTAGTCGGGCACCAAAACTCACGCAGGTTCCAATCAGAAATCGTGTCGTCGTCGTCGTCGTCGTCCATTTCATCGTCGTCGTCGTCATCTTCCTCGATCCCGTCGCCCTCATGCTGCTGGGCGACCGTGCGGGAGCGGTGGAAGCGCGGTCTGATGTCCTGCTCGTTGTCTGGAATGGCCTCGTCTTCCTCGATGTCCCCCTAAAGCCAGAGACATTTTAAACTCGGCTAAATAGGGCTTTGCGTTACATGTTCGGGACATAAACGGTAAGGACGACTTAAATCAAGCGCGTGCCATCCTGATTCATGGAGTATTTCATCCTTGTTCTTCCAGGTAAACACATTAGGGAACGCAGACTGACCTTGAGCAAGATGATGTCGATCTCCGAGTACTTCATCCCGTTGACAAGTACAGGAATGAGCCTGGAGCAAAAGCCAGGGATAAAATTATGTGAAAAAAAAAAATGTGCAAGGATAAGTTCAAGTTCACAGGCAATCACTCACGCCTGAGGGTCTACTTTAGGCACGGCTTAATGTGGCAGATTGGTGACATACGATATCGCAGAGGCCAGCAGCCAGAGAGATTCTTACTCAGCCCAACATGAGGCCATGAGGAAGAAAATCGTTCTGTTGCCCAGGCGGATATGAATCAACCGGTCTTAAAATTAAAAGCGCAACACAAACTTGTGTGAGCGGTTTCTTACTGAGAGAGGTGACCGCACAGCACTTCTTTACACACCGGCTGCTCGGCCAGTGTAAGCCAGAACTCACAGGCCTCCAGGGCGACATTCTCGTCTGGGTCCTGGGTCCTCAGGAGCATGTACTGCAAAAAAATAAAATAAAATAAAAAAAGTAAATACTCAAGAGCAATCATCAAATATTAACGTCTGACTTTGGTTAGATAGAAATCGGATTCTTCTCCAGGATTTCCGTAGGTTTCATCAACTCAAATTTCAGACTTTTCAAGATCATTACACATGAAATTTAACAGCTGTGTTACAACATGAAGAAAATTGCATATTTTATATTGTAGTAGTGCCAAGCTTTTTTTTTTTTCATAGAATAAATCTAGCACTGCAAAGTCATCTGGGAGGCTGTCGATAAATTTACACTTATTCATAACAGACGCAAAAAAAAAAGAAGGGAAAATTAGCAGCAAGTTAGCGGTAGCCTCAACTACCTCAATTTACAGAACATAACAAATATCTGCAAGCAACTGAAACGCTCGTCTGACAGAAAAGTCCCACAAAAAAAAAAAAGAGATTAAATAGTCACCAAAATTTAAGACGTGTGACTAATGTGTTTAAGGCTAACCTGCACTTTTTTTCAAATTAATTTAAGACTTTACAAGGCCTTAATTAATAATTTAGATATATGAACTCGAAACTTGAAATGAAAAAATGTAAGGCTTTTCCAGAGTTGCTTAAACGATAGCGACAAAACTGTAAAAACATCCGCAGTGGTCACGAGATAGAAGAATCGATGAATCGATAGATGGGTGAATATCTAGATGATTAGCTAAATGGACAGATGGAAAATGTGTATTTCGTTAAGTACGTAAAATCTTTTCAAGCTTTTCTTCCAAACTCCATACTTTTTCAAACCTGGAAGACACTTAAGCCACAGTCTGTAAGTTTTAAAGCCGTCCATTATGGTGAGCTTTCATTTTAGCTTAGTTGTCAAAACAGCTGCTCCAAAATCAAACACAATAACTGTCATCTGATGCTTCTCTCATTTCTTATTCTTGACAGTTCGCCTCACAGACATTTAGCTTTATGAAAATGTTTCTCATGACTGACAAACTGTAGCCACACAAAAACACACTTTCACAATTCTAACACCAATAATAAAGTCAACATTTTGTTTATTTGAATTATGGACATAGACCTGCTATAATCTGAGCGTTCAGAAGAAGACTTTGCGTTTAGTTTCAGTTTTCTCCGGGAGTACATGTTTTCATTCTGCGCCGTTTACCTCTACGATGTTGTGCATGTGAGGCAGAAGACGATCCAGCCGAACCTCCAGCAGCATGACGAGGGCTCTGCAAACATTCTTCCTCACTTCGGGCTCCTCATCGGTCGCCAGTGCAAACAGGTTCTGCAGAACACGCAAACCAGCACCTTTTCTTTTAATTTTCTTTTAGTAAAAAAGACTAATTGTAGTAAAAACGGCAAAAGATACAGTGGCCTCGCAAAGGTAATCACAACCTTTTGGGCTCTGCAATATATTTATTGGGATTTTATATCGCAGAGTAACACAAAATAATGTTCATGATTGTAAAGTGACTGATAAATCAGCCAGGACTTTCTTAATTTTGGGTGAACTCGATCTCATCTACCTGTCTGAAGATCAGCCACTGTTCTGTTTTTTAGCTTTTCAGACGAAAACAAAAAAATTCTTATCAGCCAAAATCAGAATCAGCAGATCAAGTTTTTTAAAGATCAGTGGATCGGCCAGAAAACTGCAATTGGTGCATCCTTGAAAAGGTTACGTTTTATCCAAGAGTACCACAGAGGAGTAAACCCTGATCTAAAATACAAATCCTTGACTCCCAAATACATCTGAAGTGTGTGGTTTTAATGTGATAAAATGTGAAAAAGTAAAAATACTAAATGACATGAATAATTAAATTTTTATACAAAACAACATTGGTTCGTTGGCTGTTTGGCACCTCATCTTTCAGATTTTTTTTAGATAAAAGTTGATATTTAAAAAAAAAACATAAAACTCAAATGCACATTTTTCCAAATTGATGCCGCATGCGTCCACATGCACTGCGCTTACCTCGATGAACGGGTCAATGTGAAGCATTAGGGCCTGAGTCCTGCTGATGATGAATTGATTGACACAGGCGATGGCATGAGACCTGCAACACAATAACCACACCACTTGAGAGTCACACTGGCTTGTTTTGCTCACATGCTGCCCACTATCAATGCAGCCTCTGTGCTACTTTTTATGGACTTCTTGTTTTCGGTTTAAATGCAAACTGCAGCCACATTCAAACGTGGGGATAGAGAAACTGACTGTGCATCAATGGCACAGTAAGAACAGAAAAATATTCATAATCTACACATACAAGAACGTTTTCAAACCGGGGAAAGATTTATTTAAAAAAAAAAAAAAAAAAAAACTTGCACTAAATGTAGCTTTTGCTGCTTCTTCAGTGTTTGATACTGAAGAATGAAGAAAAATACTATATTTTATTTGACCGTATTGATTCAGTGGGAAATAAAATACCTTTTTTTTTTTTTTTGCACAATTACTGGTACACCTGCCAATTAATCTTAAACAAATGATAGTTTATAAAACTTCCAACTAGTAGTAATTCATGACATTCAGTTTCCTTGGCAATAAAATGAGAAAAAGACGAGTTTATCTTGCCACCATGGAAAGTAAACAGTGTTAAGAAAGCATCTACACCGTACTATGAAGTACGGTGTAGATGTGTGATGCTATGGGCTTGTTTTCCTTCCAAATGCTCACAGAAGTTTTGTTTAATACACGATATTGCGAAACACATTTTATATTTAAAAAAGTAAAAAAAAAAAAAAAAAAAAAAAAAATTTAATCGATATTGCACAAACTTGGAATTGGCAGGTCATGCCAATTTTTAAAGATGGGTGAACGGCCAGAAACTGCAATCGGTGCACACCAAGGGCAAATCGCCATAAAAAATGGTTCCACAGACACATAATTGACATGGATGTTCCAGTACCGGATTTAAATCCTAGAAATAAATAAAAAACTGACATCAGCTGAAAAAACAAAACAAAACAAAAAACAAAGCATCAGAGGGAATCCAGAATTTACTCTGTCAATAAATACAGAGAAAACCAGCATCTTAACTTCCACAATGGTAACACATCCACTGTAAAGTTTATAAAGCAACCTAGGTTTTGAAAACAGCATTCATAGCAACTAAAGAAAAAAATGTTTTTGTTACCTAATTTTCGGGCTGTTGTGCTTGAAGAACTGCAAGAATTTGGGGATCATGACGTTAAGAGGACGATCCAGCATGTCGCTGTCCAGGATCTCGGCGGAGTCCTCACAGATCTTCTGCAGCGCCCCGAACGCTCCCTAAAGACAACATGCAAAAAGGAGAAAAAATAATGAGAGGGGAAAAAAATAGGTCTAAAATGTTTCACAATTCTGCAAATGTGGGGGATTAATAAGGTATTCTATTCTAAATAAGCATCAAGTCAGACAGACTGTCTGAACCGCAGCTACAGGAAACAGACCTCAATGCAGTTGATGGTGATTTCTATTCAGCCGAAAGCTTTCAAAAATATTGAAATATGTTGCAAATCCTGGTGTAATCTGCTCTACTGTAAACAAATGTTTCACAAACCTCAACAGGATTCACCTGCTTCTGCTACAACAACCTTCAATCTGTTGGCCAGCGGCCCTTAAACGCACCTCTCTCAGTTAATATTAGCTGCCTGGCAGATGTTTAGTATTCAGCCTTACAATATGGTGCATATTCTAAAAAAAGCAGCCCAGAGAAGCAGACGGCACCCACACAGACGTTATGTGTGAAATGTGTTTCCATGGAAACCTGCTCCCATGTCAGGGCTCCCTTTTTAGATGACAGATACAGAGCGTGCATAGAAGAAGACGACGACGAAGAGGGAAAAAAAATAATGTGGGGGGATGAAATAAGATGGAAAGGGTAAGAGTGTCAAGGTCACAGACACGCCGCGGTGCAGACGGTGACATTATGAAGCACTTTCACTCATTAGAATGCAAAGTACTTGCAGGCGTTAAAGCAACAAAATTGGTGAGAAGCATCAGCCTGTGGAAATGTCATCTCTGGGTTGACAGGAAAAATAAGATATTGTGAAGCTCTTTGATGCGTGTGATATTTAACAGTACTGAAAAATAAGATAGAAGCTGCTTTCCTATGTGAAAACAAGTCAAACTGTTAAATGAGCATATATGTGAGCGGAGAGAGGCAACAGGAGTGTAAACAGTGAAGTCGTGAACAAGGTGTGTTCGGCGAACTCGACAGCCCTGGAAATCAGAAGAACGCACGAGCGTTGACGGGGAGCCGAAACACGCCGGCAAGCAACGTAGGCAGAGAAGAAATCGAACTGACCTTTACAACTCCGCTGCGTCCACATGCCAACTGCCATTAATCAAAACCGTGAAACTGTCCAGGCAAAACCTATATTAAGCCACTGCGTCTCCGGCCCCAACCTTACACCTGCTTCTTCCTTTTTATAGAGCAAGGGATGCAGGGGGGTTGGGTGTGAAGCATGGCCGCATGAGTTCAGCCTGATCAACCAAATACTGATCTGAAACTATAAACAAAGATGCGGCAGTAAGCTTGAAACTAATAACACTTCCAAAGTGCTAAAAAGGTATTTTTTATTTATTTGGGCTATGTGGCTATCTCAATAAAGCTAAAAAGATAATGTCACACAGCTCCGCAAAGCCTGAGCTGACGTTTTACATCATCACATCATAAACCTAAAATTAACACGCAACTACTACATGCTAAGACCCGAAATTAGCCAAGCACAGCAAATGTTTCTCAGGGCTGGAATCTCACAGCAACGTGTGCGCCTCTGAAACTGCACAATCATGTCAATATGTTCCAAAGGTAGACAGCAAAACACCAGTAGTTGTGACACCAGCTGTGTCCTCATTGACTATATTAGTGCGCAATTAGAAATACAGAACAAAGCTTTATGGAACACGTGTATTTAAAAAAGCTCATGTTTGTTTTGTTGCTAAACGTTTTGGCGCTACACTGGTTTTGCGACCGTATCAAAATTAGTGCATTTTGCAAAACTGTAATGGAAACATTTTTTTTTTTCGCAACAAACGCATCACATGATCAAAATCCGGATGTTACTACTGGCAGAGACGACAAAGAAGACAACAGGAAGTGGTAGGTGGGAAGATGGCGTGGGATGTTTTTATGATAGCTTATCCTTGAACAAACGTATTCATGCGTGATTATAAATTGAGTTTTTTATTCAACAGAAACACCGCAAATGCAAAAATGTGCTTTTTCTACATTAGCGGAATATCGAAAAAGTTTTGCGTGCATTTCTAACAGAAACACAGCTACTGAGGATTATTTATAAGTGTTGATTATTGCCAGCAAAATTACAGAGAACACCTCAATACAGATTCACCTGGAAAATGCATCTAAAACTAGTAAGTCCTAATTCAGGCATTTGTACTCTAGCTTTCTCAAAGGTAGATTTTACTGTTCCATATGTGTCTGTGTCATATGAACGTAAAAATGTTGGTGCTAACAAAAGTGCAACACTGAAAGAATGCAGTGTAATGTTTCATTGCACTGAGTAACTAAACATTAAATTTACCGTTGAGTGGGACAGCAAAAAGGTATAATTCATCAAAAATAGCCTTGTTTTTATAAATCTGCAAACAAACATTCGCAACAATCACACATTTATAATTGGATTCTTTACTTCAGGAAAAAGTAAACGTTTCTGTGGCATTTGCTGCTAGTCAGATGTGCTTCCATTAGGCTGAACAATAGTTTCAGAACAGTGTTTCTCAACCCTGGTCCTCACCGCCCCCCTGCTCTGCATGTTTCAGATGTGTCTCTATTCCAGAACAGCTGATTCAAACGATTGCATGACCATCAAGTGCTGCAGAAGCCCGTTAATCACCCAGAGATACAATTCAGGTGTGTGGCAGAAGGGAAATACCTAAAACATGCAGGACAGGGGGCGGTGAGGACCAGGGTTGAGAAACACTGTTTCAGAAGGTATGTCCACATTGCTACAACAACCCAAGAACAGAAGAACATGAAGTATTTTAGAACACATCTAAACCTGGAGGACAATTTGTGCTCCAGCATTAACTTAATCATCTTCAAAATCAGACATTAAGAAGCTTTGCGACCTTCAAGCCGCTTTTAGAAAACGTATCAACTCTACTAAAGGGTTTTTACATTCTGCCGCTGTTCAGTCTTAAGCCTCGCGCACGCACACACTCGCGCACGCACACACACACGCACACACACACACACACACACACACACCGAGACACACTTCAAGATCCTCTGCAGTAAATAGCTGACCTAAATCTAAGACTCTGAATCAGCTTTATAAGAGATGATGGCTGGGTTGCCACGAGGGGATCCATTTTTTTTTTTTTCTGCCCCACACCTCTGCCTTAAATTTCAGATAATCCTGCTTCCTGAAAGTCATCTGGATGCTCCTGGTGTAACGAGCAATCCTGTCTGGACAAACTGGCGAGACACTTTTATGATGTAACAAAATATACAAACTGCTGTGATTTATTCCAACGTTGCTCTGGAGCATTTAAATATGTAGCTATCAAACTGTGAATCTGACAGGGAGCCAAACCTACAGTTTAAAGTCCAAAAAACTGAATGACAATGGATTATAGATTAAAAACAAACATGGAGGACATGGGAAAAAAAAGGTTTGTTTTTTTTCTTCCCCCAAATATCCACTGCAAAAAACCCATTCTGTGTGATTATGTGCTAAATGCCAGAAAATGGGGTCATATGGTTTTCAGGTTATGACAGAAAAAGAGAGACTGATGATATTCCCATGTTGAATAATCTGTGGTAGTAGCTGCCGCTCCAGCTGTGAGGCCGCCTTAAGCTCATCTGTCCAGCAGGACGTCATCCAGATGCTGTTTTAGACGTAACTCTTTTCTGCCCACAACAAATTACCGAACAAACGCGTATTGCTTACTGGGGGTCTTCGGTGACAAACATGCTCACTTTCAGCCCTGTTAAAAAAGAAACTTTTCATGTCGGGTCACAACTTGACTGCATTTCACTGGAATTTTATGTGACAGACAAACACAAAACAGCCACCTTTGTTCTTATGCCGCTACATGGGATCCAAAACTCAAAACGTAAAAGCACAACGGCCGAATCCCGTTTAAAACACAAGCAAGCCTTAGTAAGGTAGCACAGCCAGGTGCTACGGGAATTTTGAAAAGCAGCACTTTAATCCTCATTATTTTTAAAAGATTTTAAATAAATTTTACCCAAATTCTAGGCAAATAATCGTTTCATTGAGAATGTGTTGCAGGGTAGTACTGGATATAAAACCGTTAAAAGACTAAATGTCTAGCAAGAATTCCCTAGCTTAGGTTAAAGAATAAACTTGTTTTAGAATGGCCCAGTCAAAGACCAGAACCTAACTCCAATCACCAACAAGACTTCAAATTAATGTCCGTGGATGCCATTGGCCCAACTTGACTGAAATTGAGCTATTTTGCAAAAGTTAATGGGCAAAGTATAGCCAATATATCCACTGTACTGTATACAAACATGCTAAACATATGAAAAACGTGTGAACTTCTCACTTCACATGTGTTGTAGTCTTCAGAATCCAGCAGCAGACAGAGTTTGGGCAGAAGCTCAGGCCAGTTTTGCAGCTCTCCTTTGGAGGCGATGGTGGTGATGAGGATCCCTGTGGTGGAGAGACTCAGTTTGACTCTGCACACTTGAACGCACAAACATCACACCAGCTACCACAAGCACACACACACACGTAGGAGCTTCATACAGAACAGGAACGTGAAGCTGAATTGGCCGCAGCTGCAGCTCCGAGGTCTAGGCTTCACTCTGCAAGAAGGCTCAACAGAAAGCAATAAAACCACAAATCACCGATTCTCATGAAAGATTCTTTTCATCACACCAACCACAACTTGTTAAAACATTTCACAGGGAAATTAAGCAGGTCATGTTCCAGTCTTAGAGAAGCACGGCAAGCTTAGATCACAGCAGCTACAGGCTACGGCGTCCTGACAACGCGAAGCACGTGGTGCTAATTGGAGCTAGCCCCATGACCAAAGTACAATTTTTATCAAATCTATTTTACGCTGTTGTCCCTACTCATGCCTCATATTTTAATAAACAATAAGCATTCCTAATATTTCATTTATTGCTAGCAAAAAAAAAAAAAGAAAGATTTTTGTTTACAGGAATTGCCTTAAGTAAATGTCTTTGCTTTGATTTTAGCTGCACTCCTGTTCAGAATGTCGCTTCACGTTAGCAGCATCCTGCTAAGCTGCTGCTAAGCCAAGCAGTCAGAGGTGAAGGAGGGGAAGAACAACAGTAATGGCTGCCGGGCTGTCCTGCCAACACCATGATAGAATTTAGCTACAATACGTCCGACACATCCCTGCGTGAATTTGTTTTCATTTCAGAAAAGGGAGGGGGAAAAAAAAAGGAATAAAGAACTGACATTCATTTGATGCTAAATGTGTCGATTTTCATCAATTATCCTTCGCAAACGATAGAACACTTTTCTCTGATTCAAATGCCTTTCCACTGGGTTTGGACCATCCTGATGAGCCTGAGTTTGATAGAGCAGTAAGCATGCAGCATTTGGTGCACCGGAACCTGAAGTTCAACACATTCATGGCTGCACGACTCAAATAAAAGGTTGTGGTTTTGCTAACTAAGCAGACATGTCAACATTTAGTTGAGATTTTTATTCTCAAGGAAAATCATTTCAGTCGAACTGCAAAAGTATTCACTTATATCAATTAACATAGTATTTTTATATTATGTGAATAATATTTTTATTTAACATAATATCAAATTATTATAAGTGTACTCTTTGCTGTAGTGATGAATAAAAACCAAAGTCTTTCCTAGAAACTCTCACTTCATCTAATATCCATTTAGAATCACGTACAGATAAGCTTTGTGGTAACTAAGGCGACATGTTATTAGGAAGATACGCAATTGAGATATTAAAGCTGAATATCCGATGACAAGAACTAGATCCCCGCCAGTCTTTATGAGATTTAGCGACTTGGTTACTAAAATACACTTTAGCTGGACATCAAGGGCACTGAAACCGGAGCCAGATGTATTATTGGCATGCAGAATGTAAGTGTGTGCCGTCTGCTACGATTTCAATGAAGAAATTCGGATTTCATACGACATGCATCTCTCGTGGTTCCTGAACGTGCGGGGGCAGTTTTGGAAATTTCACTAAATAAACTCAATGATTGCATGCATTGGACAGATTTTTCCTTAAAACATGGCACCCGACTTACCCACTGTGGCACGAATGAGGGGAGAGGAGTCTCCGATGTTTTGGAGGCATTCGCTCTTGATGAAATCAGACACTCCGTTTGGGAAGTTCTGGTAGTGAGCCTTGACGTTGTTCTTCAGAATCAGTCCGCTCAGGGAACGGGTCGGTTCGTCTGTGAGGAGACCAGAAACAGGCCAGTGAAGGTAAACAATACACGGGTAGCAATTTTGTAAACATCACTTAGACTTAAACAAAAACAAATGTTAATAAAAACAACAAAAACAGTAATTATTTGCCATAACTTAGTTTTACTGTGCATTGAAAACCTATTTCACCCCCTTTCTGGCTTTCTTTTTTTCCTTTCATTTTATTTTTAGATTGCAAACAAGCTTTGATATAAAAAATAGTCTGAGTTAAAAAAAATTGTTTTCAATAGATGACTCCGTTTATAAAGGGAAAAATCTCTCCAAACCAACCCGTCAATAAATGGAAAAAGTAAAAGACCAAAAAAAGTTGAAACATTTTGGAAACTAACACAGCAATTCAGAAAAATAACATTATACTGACAATGATCTGAAACGCACCAGGAAGCTCACCTCTGAATGGCTCAAAGAAAAAATGTCAATAATCTGATAGATAGACGTAAAAAAAAAGCTAACCAACTAGTAAGAGTATATTAGCTGCAAGTTAGCGGTAGCCTAAGATGCCTCGATTTACAGAACGCAGCGTAGATGTCTGAGAGCGACTCAAACATTTGCCTGAGAGAAAAGCCCCATGAGAAAAATAAACTACATAGAATATGAGATTAAATAATCCTGCCAACACAAAATTTAAGACCTGTGATCAATGCATTTTAGGCCAACTTATTGTTTTTTGACGAATTTAAGAAATTTTATGGCCATTATCTTAGATTCATGGAATTAAAACTTTTCAAGGATGTGCAGACACCCTGTAATGTATTTAAGGCCGACTTACATTTTTTCTTACGACATTTAAGACGCTGTAAGACTTTAATTTTAGACACATAAATGTAAGTGTTATAAAAGGATGCGCAGACACTCTGTCATCTGATATTAAAACTGTTTTTAATGACTGAACTCTATAAAGGGGGGCAAATACTTTTCACAGCCCTATTGATGTTAACGTTCTATTTAAATACAATAATCCACTAAATTTAAAATGTTTCCACCTTTCAGCATTTAAACCGAGCTCCAAAGGTGTGCAAGCAGCAAATTAAAACGTCTCGGATCTTGTACTTAGCAGACAGTCGTGCCAAACGCTGCATCTCTGCCAGGAATCGGGTTTAAATTTAGAGTGACCCATATTCCCAGAGCCACATCATCTATAGCGAAGATGCCCCAGGGTCACCCTGAGTCATGGCCAGATAGCTCCTTTCCAAAAGGTGTAGCATAGAATAAAGAGGAAAAAGCAAACAAACAAACAGACATGTGACATGAGAATAGAAGGAGGTGGACAGACGAGTTAGCTTACCTTCAGATTTTAATTTGGTCAAAACAAATATCAAATAGTTGTTAAAGTCCGGATACTGGTTCAGCTGCTCGAGTCTCTGAGAAAAAGAAAGCGGTTGAGGATGACAACCATACACAAGGGATGCACAACATCAGTATCTTTATTGCAGCAGCAGTGACGCAGAGTATTTACTTTTTCATCCAGGGCCAAAAGAAAAAAAAAGAAGAAGTAGTGGATAAAGTTAATGTGTGTAAATGGTGGTGTAATGTGTGGACGTTTGTAATGGGTCATAAATATGTCATTTACTATGACCGAGTACTGCGAGTACCCGACCAGATGGCGTCTTTAGGGCAATATTGTCTATGAGCTAATGATGTGGCTCATATGAGAGTGTGTGTGTGTGTGGAGGGGGGTTTACGTAAGCAAGTCATTTAGGATCAGCAAGCAGCCACACAGAAACAAGTCGGCCTCGCTGTGGATGATCCTTTTTTCCTCTAATGTGAAAATATTAAAGCTCATTTCCATCTGATGACACTTCACGAGTGAAATGACGGTAGAGGTAATGAAGCACTTAACACTGTATAAGCTGCAATTAGCAAAAACCACACACACACACACACACACACACACACACACACACACACGCACAGGCACACGCACACCCCTCGTCCCTGAGGAAGCTTCTATCCCCCCTCTCCCATTTAAGTGTCTGTACGTCTGCGTCCGGATGCGTCATGAGTGAAAACACGTCCATTCCGACACGTTTGCGATTCGAGCGTTGCTCGTTTTTTGGCGCCCTGTTGAAAAACGACACCACGGCAAATGTCAACGTGAAAGCTCAAATGACAGCTGGACAGTTTTTTTGGGGGTTTTTTGCCCTTTTCGTCTTCCTTGTACCTTTACCAAGGTACCAGATTAAAGTCAACTGCAACTAAAATGCTTGTTTAGTTTAAATCAAAAATATTGATGTTAATATTTCTAGCAGTCATTTACTAAATTCAGCAAAATGCAGGCTACTTTTAAACCAACATGTTCCTCGTTTCTTGTTTCATAATGCCTTTACTTTAATAAGAGCTACAGCTAGGGCTTATTTATTAAAGATTACACCTTTACTTTGTAATCAAAGAAAAGGTGTGGTAACCTTTCAGCCAGCTGTTCAGCAGTGTAGAGCAACATACGAGAAATGGTATTCATAGTAGTCACTCTTCACAGCATGAAGTCAGCTCAAACTCTGGTAATTCCCTGACATTTCATTAAAAGGGCTTTCCATCATAGCAATGGTATGACGGAAAATTTTGTGGTTTTAAAATGGCAACTTTTTGATTATTCCTTGATATTAAACCATCCAAATAAGGGAGCAGCTCATTACATTTTCCTAATTTTTGCTCATTTCAAAGCTTGTGTATCAGAAAGAACTTCAGTCTAATTAGCTGAAAGAAGATAAAACAGGCCGGAGCTGCATAGAGTCAATAAATTTCATCAGGACTTGTTCAAACACAAGATGTTGTTGCGCTTTAAATAAGGAGAGTCTAAACTATGTGTATCATCTTGTTTTCATGCAGCCTCTCAGTAATTTGTACTTGTGGTGTAAGATCACTGCCATCTCAAGTCACTGCTTTCCTTTTGAAGATATGCAAGTGCATATTAAAAACACAACCAAAGCTGCAATTACAGCATAATGCCAAAGTGATATTGCATAGGTAGAACAAAAAACAAGATTTCAATTTAGTGTGTAATTAGTGAGTCTTTTCTGTGAACACAGCCGTTGAAACTAAACTGAAAGGAAAAAAATTGGGGATAACATGATTATTATTTGATAAAATTCCTATTTATTTTTATCTTAAATAAATTAAATATAAAAAAAACATCATAAATGTCATTGTTTTTAATCTAATTATTGACATTAACAGCTTTTTACATTGACTTTTCAATAACGGCATACATGACCTTGTTTACATGAACCTTGGTGGGGTTATTATGGGAAGAAAGGGGAAAAAAAGAGAGAAAACCCGGTCAGCACAGGCGAACATGATTCTAATGGTAAACACCTTGGCGTACATTAGCTACAGCTAGCCTGTTGAGTGTGACTGGGCTGTGATAAATGGATAAATCTTAAACCGGAGGAAAGGATACTTGCTGGACGGATCTCTGCGTGGACGTATCTGGTGACTGAGACTCCTTCAGCAGCTGTAGTATTTGCTGAAGCCCCTGCTCGTCTGGCTTCCACTCACACTCCATCTTGCTGCCGCGGATAAAGCAACAACATAAGCTCACACAGAGGACTTACAAGCCGACGGCTCATAAATGAGAACACCCCCCACCTTCTCCCTCCGCCCTCCGTTAAAGGCAAAAACATGTCTGACACAGAAAGGCTTTTACCTGCTCTGTCGCGTCCGACGTACTCGCTTGTAGTATCCTTTCTGTGAAAATGTGAGCGTCTGTCTGGGTTTTCAGACATGGGCCCGTTTCGGCAGACAGGTCCGTTCTTCGAGCCAGACGAAAAAAGCTTCAGGTCAAACAGCCCTGCGTTGATTATAGCTGCCTCGCTTCGGTCAGCTGACACCCACCTGCGAGGTCCTAGTGCTCAACGTATCTCTGCTTTTCACTACCAACTCATGTTGCTCTGTTTATTCATTTATATGTTTTTTTTTCTTTCTTTCAACTGAACTTCTTCCAAGGGTAAAATTTACAACAAACAATTCTCCAGCATTCTTTTAAAAAATTAGGAGTCCCTAAAGAAAAAACATAAGGTTTTGATAAAATTTTGATAAATTACCTTCATTTCAGATGGTACTTGAAAGCAACACAAGCCACCCCAGTGGATTCGTGACTTTCCTGCTAATAGAAAAGCTGTCGAGTCTCAATAATGCAACAATAAGCCATCAATTAAATTAATGCTTATGTGATCATTAGAATCAGATATGAAATTAGTAAATAAATATTTTTTTAATCTGTCCATAAAGAAATTAAATTGTGAAACGATGACAATAATGACACAATGACGTTAGGAGAAGAACGTCATTGCTATTGTTGTGATAATAATAATAATAATAATAATAATAATAATAATAATAATAATAATAATAATAATAATAATAATAATAATAATAATAATGTTATTACAATGTTTAGAATTAATATTAGAAGATGATGAAGCAGAAAAATGGCTGTAGCACTGAGTGCAGCAGGAATGATTTGGAAGATGCAAATTCAGAGGGAGGACGGAGTGAAATTTAAATTGTTTGGTAACACTATATTTGAAGGGGTGTGCACAAGACTGACATGACACTGTCATAAAGATGACTTAACATCTGTCATGAACATAAAGGAGTCTTTATGAATGTTTATGTCAGTTATCATGAAGTGTCATTAGGTAAATAATGACACTTTTAATGCAAAGTTGCTCTAAAAGTTGCATTGAAAGTCCATTAAAAATGGCAACTTTGCATTAAATTATCATACTTTACAAAATCATGCAAATGTTTATGTTTATGTTTATGACAGTGTCATGTCAGTCTTATGCACACCCCTTCAAATAAAGTGTTACCAAATGTTTTTATTTATGCATGTTGCTCTGTGTTTCTGTATTTGAAAAATCAGGGTGCACTAAAAGGAACAAGAGAAATGGATGTCATCTTTATTAATCCACAGAAATAAAAGCATAATATTTGGTTAGTAACCAAGCTTGCACTAAATTAGATATAAATTAGACTTATTTCAGTATTTATGTACATACTTTATAGTCACACAGCGGTCTAATATCTCTTTATTTATTTTATTTTATTTTATTTTATTTTATTTTATTTTAATTTCTTAAAAATAAGAAAAGAAAGAAAGGGAGTGATACAGATGCAGTTAGTTTTTCAGCCCAGTTGGACCCAGACATGTTGCCAGGTGCTTTGAATGTCCTCCAAAGTAAACTGTTTTCTGGACAGTGGGGTGACTGGTTTCAGTTTATTTTGAGACATTTTTATGTCCCTCACCAGTCTCAAACATTGGTACACTGTTAAAAAAAAAAAGGTGTTTTATGTTCTGGTTCATTTTGGCTGTTCTGATACAAACCCTTTCTTCTGACTTCAATACATGTGAAAAACCTAATATTTGGCTGGTGTTATTTCATTTTAATTCTTTGGATATAACTCATAAGCAAGACTGATCAAATAGGTGATAATGTAAACCCAGAAGCAGGCGCGAGATGTGCAAAATTGTTTCCAATTAAAAACGTTTTGACGATAATGGACATTATTGTCACATTCTGGGTTTGATTGACCCATTATCTGATCAGGACTCTGCTTAAACAGGGATGCAGGAGATCTGAAGGTGATTATCAGCAGTAACTCTGTAGTTGAGCTCTCTAAATGCTGTGTAGTGTCTCAAAAATCCTTGGTGAAGCCCTAGAATCCCTCTGATGAGTCACAGAAGATTCTTCCTCCTCTGTGGATTTTTTGTGTACATCTTCTCCTTGTCCTCTGCTCGTGTGCTTGTCTGCCCTTGATACGCTCTCTCGGGCCTCATCTGTGTGATTGAATCTTCCTCTGAGGAAAATATTAACCAGGAGTCAATGAGAGTCAATTACAAAGCCAATTGGCTTAGTGTCTATAGAGCAAAGAAGAGGTTCATCAAAGTTTTAAGGTCTCTTAAAGTTGTGACCCCCAAAAACATTTCTATTTTGTTTCTTGTTCTTATCTGTCTGGGTGTAGAGTTGGTTTTTCCACTTCTTTCTGCAAACTACTTGATTTTTTTTTTCTCTTTAGGTTGACGAGGACTGCAGGAAAAAGGTGGAGATTGGAACGTGATAAATAATTGAAAATTGTACGGTTAAACAAAAAAAAAAAAGGGGGGGGGGGGGGGTAAATATTGTTTTAAAAAAATCCCACTGTATTGAAAAAACAAAAAGGCATACTTCATTAAACTAAAACGAGTGCCTTAATTTTTTAATCCACTAGATGGCAGCACACATCAGAAATCCCTTTTGGTCCATCTGCTGAAGAAGTCAGGTACCTTCGCTCTGCGTTTAGAGCAGCAGTCATATATCAGAGTCTAGCAAACAACGCTGCTTTCTGTGTTGCTAGCGTAGAGCGTTTTTGGCAGTACGATTATTTATTTGAGAAATTCATCGGTTCCGACAGAAAAAGCCAGAAAAGACGAGAAGAAGAGTGACATTAAAGAGTTTAGTCCCTTTTCGGTGTCCATCCTCTCAGCCTGATTTAAAGAAGATTTTTTTTTCCTGATCTCCGGGGAACCATGAGCTTCCTTTTGTGAGTTATAAATACTTGGTGAAGTCCTTTTTTGCCTTCATCATTTGGGTTTAAGTTGTAGAGAACAGTAGCTGATATTTCACTGCTGGGAAGCCAGCTAGCGATAAAATAAACAAAGGATTAGTCTACTTCCTGGACTTGCCTTTTCATCATTAGTGTTATTTGCGTGTGTTGTTCTAGTTTTCTGTTTAAAAATCCTCACACATTCCAGTTTAGTTGGATCAACGTATAAACAATTACTATGTTTTCCAAGAAGACTTATAGTTAAATGTAATTTGAATTATTTTTGAAATCTATTCGTCGTGTGGCCTGGATATTTGCTGGTGCACACTGCTAACAAGTGCTAACATTAGCTTCAGTTAAACAAAACACAGTTCGGTCTCATTTGGCCCCTAAAGCTGTACGCTTGAGTAAGGAATGTGTTTTTGTGTCGTCTGTAAACTACAAACTGTTTAATAACCGAGTATAAAATTGAAATGAGAAGAAAAACAACCGGCGAAAAAAAAAAAATGCTGGTTAGGATGGCAGGACCTAACCTGTATGTGGGTGAAACCATTAAGTCGAAATGGTAAACTAAATAACAAAATTAAATTTTTACATATAAAACTGATTCGTAATAACTCACTCCCTCTACGGTTAAAACCTGTTTTCGTTTTGCTTTGTCTTGTTTATTAACATTTCTAACCAAAGTTCTGCTGAAATGAAATTTTAATTGAAATAGATTTGTTGCATTTAAAACCTATACAGGTGGGAAGCAACTACGACCTGAGTTACATATCAGCATTTTAATTACAAATAATATTTACATTTTTCAGAAGCATTCTCTGTTTCAGCGAAAATTCAACTTTTACTCTATTGGAGTTATTAGTTTGTGCGACATTGAAGAGTTTTTTTTTTTTTTTTAAAGTTGTTGATATAAAACGCACTGAATCCCCAAAGTAAAGATCTCAGCTTTGTTTAAAATAAGGTTTTCTTTCATATAAATCTTTGCCATTAATAAACATTCGCTTTGTTTGCACCGGCTTTAGTTGTGTTTTCACTTTGAGAGGGTGTGTGCAGTATGAAGATGTTGGCTCATTCAGTGTTGGGACATGTTGACAGTCAATTTCTGTCTATTGCGTTTCATAAATTCAGATTTCATTTGGCCTGCACTTTTGCATGTGTTGCCTCACACTTTAATAAAAGCAGTAAAACATCTGTTAAAAAAATGTTAATTGGCCTGAATGCTCTGTTTTACACAGGGGAGCTGGGATTAAAATGAGTTTACAGTGAAAACACCAAAAAAAAACCAATCAAATTTGGTATGTTTTTGTCTTCATAAATGGCAGCACACGTTGCTTTAGGTGCTTATTTTATTCATCTACGTTAATTCTCACGATGGTTTCTTCTTTTTTTTTCATTCATAAAATCAGATGCGAGAGACGCAGATTTGCTTTAGCTGGCGGTTTAGTTAGCCGCCGAGCTGTTTCGGTGCGTTTCTGCTTTGATGCCTGAAAAATTCTTGTTTAATGGAGCAGTGCGAGATCCTGAATGCAGCCTCATTAAACACAGAGAGATGTACTGTTCTGTCCCGCTGTTCTTGCATCTGTGGCTCCTTTGTCAGTAATAATTGAAAAAAAAAAAAAAACCCTGACTTGATTTTTTTGTTTATTTATTTATTTATTTAAGCAAACTTCCCTTTTGTGAACTCAAGTGATTTATCCTTCCGTTTGTCTCCGTCTTTCCACAGTGGAAACCGTTCGTCCAAAACATTCAAGCCCAAGAAGAATATCCCAGAGGGTTCTCATCAGTATGAGCTGTTGAAACACGCCGAGGCGACGCTGGGGAGTGGAAACCTGCGCATGGCGGTCATGTTGCCCGAGGGGGAAGACTTAAATGAGTGGGTCGCCGTCAACAGTGAGTCCTGCCTTTTGCCTTTTTTTTTTTTTTTTCCAGTCAAATTCTTTATCTCAGCACCTCCTTTTCTTTCTTTTGTCTTTAAAAATAACTTCTCGTTCCTCAAATGTCAGTTTGTCCAGGTCGTGTATCAGGTGAGGGTGAACTTTCATGGTGCGAGCTCCTGGCTTCGCCTCTAAAGACCGCTCGCTTTCATGCCAGGAAGACCGCTGCGAATGCTAAATAGATTTTATTGAGCCGTTCGTTAAGAGCCCTGCTAAGCAACGGCGAATGGCTCTGCTTAAAGATAAATTCCTCCCACGATCCAGTTCTTGTAAAGTTTAATTTGTTCAGCAGGGCCGACATGCAGCCAAATGGTTACGAACTAAGAATTTTGCACCAGGTTCGCAGCACAGC